GCCTCCTGGGCTGCATTAGGAAGAGCAATGCCAGCAGGACGAAGGAGGCGATCCTTCCCTTCTACTCAGCACTGGTGAAGCCTCACCTGGAGTGCTGTGTGCAGTGCTGGGCTCTGCAGTATAGGAGAGACGGGGACATATCGGAGTGAATGCAGTGAGGGGCCACGAAGACCACAAAGGAACTGGAGCTTGCGTCACAGGGGATGCAGCTGAGAGAGCCGGGACTGTTGAGCCAGGAGGAGAGAAGGCTCTGGTGGCGTGGGGAGAGGAGGTTAATCAGTACGTACAAATACCTGACTGGAGGCAACAAAGGAGGAGGGAGCCAAACTCTTCTCAGTTGTGCCTGGTTACAGGATGAGAGGCAATGGGCACAAAAAAAGCACAAGGGATTCCATTTACATATAGCTTTTTCACCACGAGAGCCGTTTAACAGAGGAATAAGTTGACCCAAGAGGTTGTGGCGTCTCCATCCTTGGAGATATTTAAAACCTGATTGGACACACCCCGAGCAGTCTGCCTTAGTTGATCCTGCTTTTAGCGGGCAGGGGGTGAGGGGGCAGCGGCGGTGGCGGACTAGATGATCTCTAGAGGCATCTTCTAACTTCAGTGATTCTGTGATGCTGCTTTACTTGAGGCTAAATTTATTTTCTAGGGGAAAGCTATCTGTAGTAAAGGTGAAAAAAAAGGACAAGAAGGAATTTTTGTTACTAAGAAACCACCTGGGGATAAAACATGTGAGTCCCCATTTCTTAGAGGCAAGATCAAATTATACTTCCTTGGAAGATCTGAAAGACTGATGCATCTTCAATCTTGAAGTCCCTTTCCTAAAATTAACTGTATTTTACATTTTAGCCAGCGTAAGTTCACTTCTAAAGGCAAATAGCTTATAGACTGCTGTTGGTACCTGTTACAAGCAGAACAAGCTCTTGATCAGGACTCCAGCTCATGGTGCTCAGACCACTGTCCACACTGCCAACACATTCCACCTACAAGAGAAATGAGATCACAAATGAGCAGGAACATCAGTGCAGCAATATCTCACCATGAAATCCACCCATCATCAAGTCAGGGAAATCCTTTTATGCTTAGGAAAATCACAAGTCAGATTTTACCCTGTACGTTGAATGAAACTGAAGAAACGTTTCTAACTAAAGAAGGTTCCATAATGTCCATATATGACAGCCCAGGCAATCACAAGATCAATGTTTCCTGCCACATCCAGCTTTTCAAGAGCTTTACTTTGCACCTATCAGTCTTAGGTTAGGATGTGCAATCCCTATACCGATATTACCAATGCAACCACAGATCCAATCAGGCAATCACTTTTACAGGACAAAACATGTAGCTCTCCTGTTGCCTGGAGAGCTACCACGTGTAGTTAATGGATGTAATATCCATTCAAGCTCTGATCCCACAAGCTTCTTGTGCAGGCTGAACTTTGAAATTATATAGAGTTGCACTTGCTTCAAAGAAGTCTTTGAAAAATCAAGATTACTCAAAGACTACTGTGCTGTCATGTGTACCTCCCACGGGTAAGAAATTTCAGAACATGCTGAGTAACCTTCAGGGCTGTTTCCTGCAAGAACATAGTCTCACACATCACATCTTTTGTTAATCTCTAATTCTCCCGCAACGTGCACTAAGCCACATCACAGAGCATACTTTTCAGACACAGTCTGATCTTACATTTAAGTGGTATTGACAAATCAAACCAAGAATCTGAACAAAGTAAGAATCAATTTTGGTGAGTTGCAAATAACTACAATCTGACAGCTAGCCCACACTGACTGCTGTTATCTCGTGCCTACCTATGACGGCACTGTTGGGCCAATACTTGGGGAGCGTCAGGCGCGGGGGCTGACGCAGACATCAGAGAGTGCTGCGGTGCTGATAACGGATTTTTCTGAAGATTGAATAAACCTGGTGCTCAGCAAGGAACAGAAAAGCATCATCTCATTTCCTGCCATACTTACTCACCTAAGGTATTTTGCTTTCCCCTTCCTGTCTTTTTTTTTCCCCAAATGTTCTTCAAATCACAGCATACAACAATTTCTCCTCTCTTCAGTTAAATCCATATGCCAACACAAAGTTCTGTATTGACTGATAACCGAAACAACTGACAATTAAAAGGTAGCTAAACTACAACTTATGCATGTTTTGCTTTTCTCCGTATCTACTCTCAGCAACATCTTGTTCCTGCAGGACTCTTCATCCAGCGCATCCCTTGCTGCTAGGTGTGTGCCAACAGCTCCCAGAGCAAACATCTAGTATGAGGGCTGCAGGCAGGCAACTTGGATTCCAATTATTTTATGAAGTATATGTTTTGCCCAGGACAGCAAGAGAAATCAGCCCATCTGCCCAGATGAGAACGGAGACCAACCACAGCCAAGATATAATAAACATGCAACTGGCCCCAGAAGAAATTAAAAGAATCATTCTTTCCTTTGAAACCCCTCCGTACTGTTCTCCCCTTCCCTGCCAGCTTACCTCCTTTGTGCTGAGATTGCACAGTAGGATGTCTCCAGCTGCTGTAGCCACACACACACA